GGAAGGGACCTTGGAGGTCATCTAGTCCAACCCCCTGCTCAGGCAGGAAACCCTATACCATTTCAGACAAATGGCTGTCCAGTCTCTTCTTAAAAACTTCCAGTGTTGGAGCATTCACCGCTTCTGGAGGCAGGTTGTTCCACTGGTTAATTGTTCTCACTGTCAGGAAGTTTCTCCTTAGTTCTAGGTTGCTTCTCTCTTTGGTTAGTTTCCACCCATTGCTTCTCGTCCTGCCCTTAGGCGCTTTGGAGAATAGTTTGACTCCCTCTTCTTTGGGGCAGCCCCTGAGATACTGGAACATTGCTATCATGTCCCCCCTCGTCCTTCTCTTCATTAAACTAGACATACCCAATTCCAGCAAGTCCACAAGTCTTAAAATTGCCACGTTTGGAGTCCCCTGGCTCAGAGTGCCCATCGGCACACCTGCTGCTAGAAAGCTGGTGTGGCAGACCCCGGAGAAGCAACATCTCTCTATGGTTTCCCTATCAGAGGCTGCCTGCTTCTGTGTTTCTTCTTTTATTTTTCTGCAGAAAGACTGCAAAGTACCTTCAATCCTTACACTTTTAGCTATGAACACAACTGGGACCAGAATTTTTCTTGCTAAACAAGATGGTTGTTAAGTAGGACACAACCAATTTTATGATGTTATTATCCTGGCTGTTAAGGGAATCCTTATGGTTGTTAAGCAAATTATCTGGTCGTTAAGTAAATCAGGCTTTGCTCACTGAATCTGCTTGTCGGAAGCTGGCTGGGAAGGTCGCAAATGGTGAAGACATGACCCTGGGACACTTCAACCATCCAAAAAAAGATGCTGATTGACAAGCACCCGAATTTTGATCACACGACTGTGGGAATGATGCAGTGGTTGTAAGGGCGAGGATCGGTTGCAAGTCCCCCTTTTTTTAGAGTGTTGTAACGTTGAACGGTCGCTAAACAAACAGTTGTAAGTAGAGGATTACCTCTATATTAGATGCAAATTTCAATATGGATTTAGATATACTGGATTGTGCATTCAGATGTACCCAATGGGAAGCACATCCAAACTCAAGTTCTCGTCTGTACAGGTAGTCCTCATTTAGCAACTAGTGGTTGCTAAATGAAACCATGGTTGCTCATTTAGCAACGAAGTGGTTGCTAAATGAAACCATGATTGCTTATGACCTAATTTCAGCTTTCCCCTGCTTTATAGACCTATCAAGGTTCCAAATGTGAGAATTGGTCACAAAGTTACTTTTTCATCCCCGTCATAACTGCGAACAGTCACTAAATGAGGACTAGTTGCATTTTCAGTAGAATCTGTAGTACTTCCAGATGCATTTTTCATCTGTAAATTACACCAGCTTAACAAACATGTCTAAGACTTAAGACATCCAGACAAGGTTGTTGTTTTCCTAACAGAAAGTAAATCTGCTAGGGCTCAAATTTCCAAAATATTACTTGGATTAACTTGGAAATCATCTAAGAACATTTTATACAGCAACATCAAATCAAAAGCAGAGTTCTTGTAATCTGGGGTCCTGAAAAAAAAAAAATCACCCCACGCTAGAATCTTATTCAGCTTCTTCCCATGTAAATGAGAATTCATTTTGTAAAATCGTCAAGTGGTAAAAGAAAACGGCCAGGGATTTTAATGAAACTAGAATTCTCAGCCTTCCAAATTAGACTCCACTGTAGAATGGATGGGTAGCAATTTCTTCTGATAGCTTTTGTTTTCTACTAAAACCTCATTCACAAAGAATCTAATATTGCCGTGCTGAGTATTGCCGAACAATATGACTTTATTACAATTGAGCGTGGAAATGGAGCTGGAAATTCTTCTTGCAATCCCATTTCAGCCTGAGCAGGAGAAGAATTCCGGGGCACAGAAAGCTCCCTTTGAGATGAAGTGTGATGCACTTAACGGAACGTGATTTCGGAGAATTGCATGGCTACCTTAAGGCAGGGCTCAAGATGAAGTGTATTCAGCAGAAAAACTTGAGTTCAAACCACTGTCAACATCCACACTGGCAGCTGCTGCAGCCCCCGTAATGTTCGGAGAAGGCAATTGCGCATGAATAGTGCATTAAAACTTATGAGTTTGATCCTTCCTAACTGTGCATAAGAGCCCCAGCAGGGCGGGGAAGGTGCTGCTTGCTTCCTTTAGGGCATGGGGAGCAATGATGCATGGAAACAGTGGGGAAAAAAAAGACCATGAAGAAATTGTTTGTTGAAAGCTGGCCAGGAAAGGATTAACATCTGAGCAACTTTCCAGAAAAGCTGCCATTGAGGAACAAGGCGCTTTTTGATGCAGGGCCCCTGCAGGCCTGGTGCATGGTTGAAACCAGCCGCAGATGGATGGGGAAAAGAATATTTTACTTTATAGACAGACAGACAGAGAGAGAGAGAGAGAGAGAGAGAGAGAGAGAGAGAGAGAGAGAGAGAGAGAGAGAGAGAGAGATATGGATAGATGGATGGATGGATGGATGGATGGATGGATAGATAGATAGATAGATAGATAGATAGATAGATAGATAGATAGATAGATAGATAGATAGATAGATAGATAGATAGATAGATAGATAGATAAAGCTAGAGAGAGACAGGCAGGCAGAGATAGATAGATAGATAGATAGATAGATAGATAGATAGATAGATAGATAGATAGATAGATAGATAGATAGATAGATAGATAGATAGATAGATAGATAGATAGATAGATAGATATTGGCTTTTCCTTCAAAATAGATTTCTCTTTTCCTTCACATTGGACAGATGGATGGGTGGATGGATGGAGAGATGGAGAGACAGAGATGAAGATAAAATATTCAATTTGCTTGATACCAAGTGGCTTTCTCCACCTCAGTGTTGGGATATGGGAAGAACCGGAATCAAACTTGAGAAATAAAAAGCAATTATTTTTATTGGCCTGGGACCATAAGTAAATAATTGTAAGTGTAATTTGGAAGTCAGGTTATTAATCTATGGTTCAGTGTCCCTAATTTAACTATAATCCCCCCTGGTCTTCTAATAATAGGAAAAAACAGTAATTATACTAATCATACCGGCAACACAATGTGGTTGGGAAGGGTAATCTCTTGTGATGCTCTTAAGGAATGTCATCTTCAGGGTCTGTGGGGGCAAGCCTTCGCAGTCGTGCACCCGTTTCTCTGAAGCACCATCCCCTCCCCCCAAATTAGTCTGATCTCTACCTTACTGGTTGATTACTACTGGCTTTTCAACAATAATCAAGAACTTCCTCTATTTGCAGTTAAAGTTAGGATGGGATGGAGATAATTCTACTGACAGTTCTTCCTGTGGGAAAGCCATGTTGGTGACCTTTCCTCACCAAGATTTTCCACAGATGGAAGGGTTGGGACCTGACTCAGAGAGGATGGAAGGAAACTGGGAATGGTAAGTTCTCCTGAACCTACACTTCTTCCATTTCCAGATTGGGACCCTACACATATGTACAATATTTACTATTAGCATAAGAGAAGAGTAGAATCACAGTCTCCCCATTCACAGTCTAGTGCCTTCATCACTAGATCACTCTGGACCTTGGGTTGAGAGAGAGGAACTCGCCCAAACTCTTTAAGGGAGCTTCTGAATGAAGATGGACTAGAACATGGGACTTCTCATCTTCGCCTCTACATCAGCCTGCAGCTTTCTGTTTCTCTCTTTCCACAAGAGAAACACGGGGTGAAAACACCTTAGAAGCCACGGGGAGCAAACAGAAAGAATGTAGAAAGTTGTGTGAGGCCACCTCTTTCTTGCAGAGAGATTCTAGGATTCTGTCTCTATTTCAGGAGCCAGGATGGACTTGGAAGGGTTAATATCCTCTGTGCTCAGTTGACCAGAGACAATTAGAAGGCTTATCTTCCTCCTTAGATGTTCACAAACCAGAGCAGCAAGACTTCTGTATGTCAGAGATGGAAGGGCCCACACAAACTCACACCATGTGAGAATGGATGGTGAAATTAATGGAGTTGGCAGAGATGTCAGAACTGACTGCTTTGATTAAAGAAAAGACTTTGTCTAGCTTCTTGGATTTTTTTTCTCTCGAAACTGAAATCAATGACATTTTAACCTTGGATCTGGATTATTAGACTTGTTTATGATAATAGAAGTACTGTTTGTTATAGTTTATTCTACTTCAAAGTGTCATTGGTTTTTAGGGGTTTAGCTGTACCAAAGAAAGTTGGAAGTTACTTTTTTCTAGGGCTTTTTTTCCCTTTTAGTTTCAGCTCTGCAATTTTGCTTTTTCTCTACCCTCCCCTCTTTCTTTTTAATTTTTTTTTGGGTGTGTTTGGTATTTTATACTTTTCTGAAATAGAGATATTCACAAAAAATGCTGCCTAGTTCCATTGTGTCATGAAGATGGAAGCAGAAAGTCATGTACATACAAGGCACAACTATCCTCTGAGATGGGCCCATGTTGCTATTGCCATATAGCCAAGCAAATAGATAGACTGAGAAGGACCAGGGGTGACATGATAACAGTGTTCCAAAAAAAGAGAGGGGGGGTCAACCTATTATCCAAAGCACTGGAAGGCAGGACAAGAAATAATGGGTGGAAACTAATCAAGGAGAGAACCAACCTAGAACTAAGGGAAATTCTCTGATAATGAGAACAATTTACCAGTGGAATGACTTGCCTTCAGAAGTCGTGGGTTCTCCATCAATGGAAGTTTTTAAAGAAGAGATTGGACAACCATTTAATAAGAGAATAACAGAATAACAGAGTTGGAATGGACCTTAGAGGTCTTATAGTCAGGCAGGAAACCCTATCCCATTTCAGACGAATGGTTGTCCAATCTCTTTTTAAAACCTTCCAGTGTTGGAGCACTCACCACTTCTGGAGATTAGTCTGAAATGGTATAGTCGCCTGCTATAGCTGTTATTCCATTATTATGTTAAATAAGGAGGACATATCCTTGCTTGGAAATCTTTTTTTAAGCCACCAGATAATATCAACTCTCTTTCCAAAGGCGCAACTATTGTTTTGGGGACCTGGATAACCGTAGAACAACCTTCTGCCAGTGACTTCTGTCCACCCAATAAAATTGGGAAGGATGATCTGTTTCCATTCTCTTTCGGGGACCGTGGGGAAAAGGCTTCTCAGTCATCCACCCCCTTTTCTAGGGCAGACCCTCCCCCCAAATTAGATTGAAAAACCTCCCCCAAGTCTATTGGATTTTTGAGGAACTATTGAAACCTGGCTGTTTCAGACCACTTGGAAGCAGACTTGTTATGAGAACTCTCCTGATATTGATTTGTGTAAGCTGATGGTTACTCCTCAGGCATTGGGGCTGCGGTTTCTTTTTTTGTTGTATTGATTATTATTTTAATTTTCCTGTATCAAATAATGTAGGTTGCTCAGAGCCCTGTTTGAATGGAACAGCGTAGAAGCTGCAGTACATAAATAAATAAAATGAATATGACAATTGGAGGTTCCATTAAATCTTCCTTATATAGCTCACCTTTTCTCCTTGATCTCCTTTCACAGAAACCTTCCCAGAGGCTCTCACCTCCTAGGAAAAGAAGAGAGAAATAACATTACAGGCTAAAAGTCATAAAATCTTTCTTTGCCATAGCTTCTGGCAGTTCCTCTTCCAGAGAAAATAACAAGTATTCAGAGAAATTAGTTTAGCCTAATGAGTTTAACTGCTTCAGCCCCACAAGGAGCAAAGGAGAAATTGGAAGCTTTTTTTTTGAAGAAAAAAATTGGGTGTCATGTATTCAGGCCAAAAAGCAGAACAGCAGAACAGCAGAAAAACTCTGTTTAGCAACTAAACAGAGTGAATAATGTGATTTGGCATAGAGATAAATGATAGATAGATAGATAGATAGATAGATAGATAGATAGATAGATAGATAGATAGATAGATAGATAGATAGATAGATAGATAGATGGATGGATGGATGGATGGATGGATGGATGGATGGATGGATGGATGGATGGATGGATGGATGGATGGATGGATGGATGGAGGGATGGATGGATGGATGGATGGAGGGATGGATGGAGGGAGGGATGGAGGGAGGGATGGAGGGAGGGACGGAGGGACGGACAGACAGACAGACAGACAGACAGACAGATTTCTCTTTTCCTTCACATTAGATAGATGGATAGGTGGATCCAATTCAGACAACAGGCTAGCCCAGGGGTAGGCAACCTTGGCTCTTTTATGACACGTGGACTTCAACTCCCAGAATTCCTGAGCCAGCAATGGGCTAGCACAATATGAAACCAAAGAATTTCTCTGAATGTAGTAGTTGGATTCCTCCTGCCCCCCCCCAAAGTGCAAGTTGCTAGTGTCTACAGGAGTGGGTCAAAACATCAACATGGTAGCCACAGCCAAAAATTGAAAGCCCACCTACAATAAATATAAAAGGTGGGCGGAGCTTCAATTACATGGCTGTGACTGAAATACTGACTTTTTTTTTTAACCCCCCTGGATTCTCTGGAATATGTCACAGCAGATGGCAGGTTGATTGCTGGCTGATCTTTGTTGAACTTGAAAAAGTAAACATCTCCTTTGGTTTTGCAGTACATGCCTGTTGAGTCATTCACATACTTTCCATTAGGTAGAACAATTTCCCGTCTTATTTCATCTTTGCAGTAATCTTTTTTGTTTGTTTATCTTTTTCTTCGCATTCGAAACAAACTTAGGCAAGATGTTTTAACAACGTTAATGTTCTGTGCTGATGCGTAATTATTTTTGTGTTCATTATAGTAATATTGTTCTTGTCAGTTCAGGAAACAAATATAAGGATGTCTCTCTCTCTCTCTCTTTCTCTCTCTCTCTCTCTCTCTCTCTCTCCCCCCCCCCCTTTTTCTTTTAATAAATAAATGCTAATTTTTAGGAGCGTTGAGATCCGGAGGTTGCAAATCATTTTAGCATCTGAAGTTGTATCGTTTCTGTTGTCACAGCACCCTCCAAAAAGCCAAGACAGTTGACGAAACAGATTGGGCCTAAACAAAAACTCTTTTAGTGGGCCTTTCAGATTCTTCACACTCTCTGTTGTTGATCTTGAGAAAGCTCAGCAAATCAGATCTAGCTAATAATTGGATGGGACACCATGAGGGAATCTCAGGGCTGCAGGATAGAAGGGGAAGTCTGGCAATTGCCATAACTGAGGGGGAGGGGGAATTTGGGAGGGGACGAGTGTCGGACGTGTGAAAGAATGCTGTGGGAATTTTATTATTTTTTAAACAAATTTTATTGGTTTTTTTTAATTCTTAAGGCAACATATTCAGGACACACCGTGATGCTGGGGTAATCAAACATCTTAAAACAAGACATATATACATAATATAATCAATACATCAAATATTCCCTCTCTTTTTCCCCTCAAATAGCATAGTATATTTGGAATATCCAATTCTAGCTTAAATTTATTTAACCTGAACCTGTTTTTCAAATTAACTTTAAATAAAAACATTTTCAATTCAAATATCCCTTAGAATGCTGTGGGAATTTGAGGGCGTATGGACACTAGCAGGGACCAGAGATGTCAAAGTGAGCCATCTTCCTGCCTTCAAGGATGACGGCCCTGGGAAAGGAATTGACAGCGGTGCCTGAAGGACCAGGTTCCCAAAACATTGGGAACCTGATTGGACTAATCTCACAAGGGGGAGGGTTTGGGACATTGGGGATTGCTTTCAATTTCTGGTGCAATTTTCCTCCAGATTACATGGCTGCTGCCATTTGTGACTTTCCCATCTGGCTTGCGTCAAAATCAATGGGAGAAAGGAGCGCCGTGGCTCACCTGGTTAGGATGCTGCACTGACCAGCAGCAAGGCCAAGTTCGAGACCCAGGTGCTGCCGTGGGATGGAGTAAGCTCCTGTTCTTCGCTCCAGCTGAGAACATGAAAGGAACCCACCAACTGGGCATCCTCAGGTGAAGCCACCAGCTACTCCTTTCAACCTGGAAGCACCTCGGTGTTTCTGACATGAGTGGGATGCGAGTGGGATGCTTTACAACCCAATAATAATAATAATAATAATAATAATAATAATAATAATAATAATAGTAGTAGTAGTAGTAGTAGTAGTAGTAGTAGTAGTAGTAGTAGTAGTAGTAGTAGTAAAGTTGGAAGGGATCTTGGAGGTCATCTAGTCCAACCCCCTGCTCAGGCAGGAAACCCTATACCATTTCGGACAAATGGCTGTCCAGTCTCTTCTTAAAAACTTCCAGTGTTGGAGCATTCACCGCTTCTGGAGGCAGGTTGTTCCACTGGTTAATGGTTCTCACTGTCAGGAAGTTTCTCCTTAGTTCTAGGTTGCTTCTCTCCTTGATTAGTTTCCACCCGTTGCTTCTTGTCCTGCCTTCAGACGCTTTGGAAAATAGCTTGACTCCCTCTTCTTTGTGGCAGCCCCTGAGATATTGGAACACTGCTATCATGTCCCCCTTCGTCCTTCTCTTCATTAAACTAGACATACCCAATTCCAGCAACCGTTCCTTATATGCTTTAGCCTCCAGTCCCCTAATCATCTTTGTTGCTCTTCTCTGTACTCTTTCTAGAGTCTACACATCTTTCACTTAACACGATTCACTTAACAGCTGCAGGAAAAGTAGTCATAAAACTGGATGCAGCTCATCTGACCACCTTACTTCCCAATGGAAATTTTGGTCCCCCACTGTGGTTGTAAGTTGCGGCCTATCTGTACTTGCTTTCAATGGAGGGAAATTTGCTTAGCTGGCCCTTCAAAATGTCACATATCTCCCCACAAAGCATCTTAGCACCTTTGGAGAGCTGCTGCATGCACGCAGCAATATTTACAATTAAAAGAGAACTTGGAATGAAAAAGTTTGTGCTAAAGAAACTTACATCAGGGGAATTTACCAGTCTGGAAATGGAAGCAGGATAATTTGTGTTAATAAAACTGTTTCTCAGCAATTTATGTTCTCAATTACATGGAACAGGAAAAGATATTTACAAGTCTCCATATGTTTGAGGAGGCTACGCATATGAATATTTGGAATATTTTTCCCGTTTTTTAAAATATAGTTTAAAAAACACACTAGGAGACTGAGCTGTATGCCTCATGCTGAGCTTAATGGAATTACTGAGAAGTCTAAATACTTCAGCATTTCTCAATCTTAGCCACTTTAAGATGGGTAGACTTCAACTCCCAGAATTCCTGGGGAATTCTGGGAGTTGAAGTCAACCAGTGGTGGGATTCAGCCGGTTCGCACTAATTCAGCAGAACCGGTAGCTAATTCTTTGTTGCGCAGGCCCAGAACAGACTTCCGGAAGTGGCATCCACACAGAGAACCGGTAGTTCACATATTTGAATCCCATCACTGAAGTCAACCCATTTCAAAGTTGCCAAAGTTGAGAAACACTTGAGAGTTGCAGCTAGATTTTTACAAGGTTGTGAAAAAAACCCAACAGAGATGGAAACTACCTGGCAGGGAGAGAAGAGATTAATTGGAAATATCAGTTGGATTCCTCAAGGAATGATGACTAATCTTAGGAGGAAACATCTACAAAGGCGTCCATTGACTTCCAAGTTCACTACCAATCTGCTGATGAACCTAAAACCCCACTTGCCATCTCTAAACTGCAGATAGATGCAAGGTAGTTTGCATCCAAGGACTAAACTGGATGCTTGTTGTGAGCAAATACTGCAGATCATACCCAAGTCAGCCAGGTGAGTGTTGTAAAGTGCCTTCTAAACCTTTGGTACTTTCACATGACTTATGGACATAGATTTATGAATTCCCCCCAGTCCAGACTTTGGGGAAAAACTACCCAGAACAAGGGCCAAATATAAAAGGTGTGAATGGCAGCATTCTAACAATATTTCATTATTAGATTTTTATCTTACTGTTCTTCCAGGGTCCAAAGGGGTCTGCATAGCAATAGCAATAACATTTAGGCTCATATGCCACCCCATTGTGCTGTACAGCCCTTGGCAACGTCAGCCTTTTGCCCCCAACAATCTGGGTCCTCAATTTTACCAACCTCAGAAGGATGGAAGGCTGAGTCAACCTTGAGCCCTGTCAGGATCGAACGCCAGGCTGTGGGCTGAGTTTGCCTGCAATACTGCACACTAACCACTGTGCCACCAGGGCTCCTCATAGCCCACCCTTCTCTTCTTTGCCTCCCCCAAACAACTACACTGTGGGCTACTGTAAGTAGGGAGACAATGAGTAGCTCAAAACCACACAGATAGCTTCCATGGCTGAGGATCTCCCAGGGCCTGCCCAAAATCTTAAATCTCTTTATCAGGTTAGCTCTACAAGAAATATTGTTACCTCTGCCCACTTCTCAATTGCTTGCTCATCCTCACTTCTAGCAAAGCATCCCCCTCCCCTGTTTTTATTCTCTCTCTTTCACAGGCCCACTTTCTTCATTCACCAAGTGTCTCTCTCCTGCCATCCCTGGGAGGTGCTTGTTAGCAGACTTGACTTATGCTTCTCTTCAGACAACGGGGCGGTCCACCCGCTCTCCATCCATCAGGTCATACTTTGATGCTCTTGCTATCCAGGGTCTCCCACATACCACATCAATCACATG